ATCTTACCTTTGGAGCTAAGACAATAGCTATCGACTACTGTAGGAAAATCATGCTGCATGAAGGAAAAACAATCTCTGCTCACAATTCAGATTTATTTATTCCTAGCTTTAGGCAAAGAGTCTTATTTTAATTTATGAGTGTTCCAGGAGCTCACTGAAGCGGGTGCCCACTCTCACAAGTCACCAGAACAAGGCTTGCTGAACAGATCCTCCAAACACAATAACAATCTAGCCCCCGATTTTCATTCTAAAGTGTGTTATGAATATTCATAAATATAGGCTGCTTAGGCTTTGATTCAGTATGTGGAGCCTTTATAGCATTTCTCCTATCAGGCAAAGAATCGTATTTCTCGTGCAAGATGATGTGTGTGTAGATATACATATATATTACTGTGCCTTCCTCCATATATATCTCTTCCTCGCACAGATACTCAAGATCAAAACCCATAATATAATCTTCACTTCAGTTATTGCTTTTAGATGCTTATAAAGTTGCATTGAGGTCAGACAGATATAGATATATAGTTAAGAACAGGAGGACTAAATACTTGAACCGAGCAACATATTTACAGTATACAAACAGGCGAGAAAGATAAACACGAGATGGACGTAGTTGGTAATACGAAGTGATAAAACCTGACTCACTGAATAAATTATTACATTAACAAGTTACAAAGATGACGACAGTGAAAACGAACAACACAAAACTGTTTTATTCAGCTTTGCAATATTTAGTGTGATTCTTCTGGGACTGACATGCTTAGCTGTGATACACACTTCCATATGTGTAATATTGAGCTACGTGAGAGCTACGGGGTGTCAACCAACGTTGTTGGCAACTGGGAGACCACAGATATAAATGTGCAAGTGGAAAACAGGATGGCCTTTTAAGAAAATTGTAGAGACATACACAGTCTGTCTGTAATGAATCCTTCAATGTGAATAATAATATGAATATTGTAACCTGCTCATTATGAGGTTAATCAGCGTGGCCTCCTGGTATGAATGTTTAAAAGACTAGAAAATACCAAGTGGGTAATTTTTAAATAAGGATGCATCCACAACCTCAGGAACAGTGTAGCTCTTTGATGTCTGCTACAGTTACTGCAAATCCTGCTCTGTGGTCAATAAAATGATGTACACAACGGAACAATTATCCCAGCAACAAATTAGAAAGCTTTACTCAACAAGAGCCAACGAGTCTTCCTTTCTCAACTGATTTTTTCCCTTGATTTTGTGATTAGGGGCATCCGAGTTATCTTTAATCTTGGATACTGATAGCAAATTGGCAACCATGGTTTCATCTTAACTCGTTAATGTTCAGACTGAAGTTTAGAGTTTTAATTTGCAATGCTTTAAAGCACTAGTTAAGCTCAACACGGCGTACGAATCCAGTCAATGTTTTGAAATTATAGGATTACTACGCAGGTTATAAAGTGTTTAAAAAATTCACGCAATTAACAACCAGATACATGGAGCTAAGAATTGTTTAAAAAAAAGATTTTGTAATACATTTGGGGAAGAAATATTAAACAATGTAGCTCGGTGGCCATCAGTTTTCATGCATTTTTATGGGATTCGTGGTAATTACCTCTCTGTTTCTTTTTGTTTTTCAATCACAAACTCAAACGCACATACACACACGCACCGAGCCCAAAGCCAGATGCTTGTTTACAAGTGCCTTTGGTCTTTGAAGTGCAAGTAAAGGTGTATTTTTGCTACTGTCAGTCTTCCTGGCAGGCGGGGAGGTAAGTCAGATATGGCAAATTCTTGTAAAAACAGACTTTTGGAGATGATTGAATTGGTAATGTTAGCTTACACTAAGAGGGCACATAATGGGAAATGGCAAGGCAAGATCACTGGTAAAAAACACATGTATATATATATAATTAACCATATTCCAATGATTTTGATCCTACGGATACACATTTGAGATTAGTGCATGCAGCCAAGTTACCCAGGATTGCACAGACTGCCAGCCCAAATCCATTTTATGGCACGTTCAGACTTTATCCAGAATGGATTTAGAAAGTCTGGACAACAGACAACATTCTTGCAGTTTGGATCCAAGATACATTTGGGAGCGATTTCCAATCAGTTTCAGCCCATACGCTCTGGCCACTCAAAGATTTAGAAGGGCTTTTTGTTGCACTTGCAATGCAACACACAACAATGTCAAACTCAGAGCGACAGAGTGGCGCGGACCAGAATCCATGCTGCTACTGGACGAACACTATGGAGGACAACAACCCATTGAGGGAAGGAGGGATACGAAAATAAAAGTTGTCTGTGAATAATTTGGGAGATGTAGTCTTGCAAAGAAAGGCTGCATTGGAAAGCCAGGCAACCAGCATAAGTTGTTAACTAGTTATAGGCAGTTTGAAAAGTAAGGAAAAATAATTCAGCTTATCAAAGATTAAAAGTTAAATAAGACACATAAGTCCTTTCTTGGGGAAATGAGGCAAATATAAGATATGATAGATGTAACGTCTGTTTGACTGAATGGCAAGATAATCTTCAAAGGTATTTATGTACTTTAGAAATGCACAAATCTGTTACAAAACTTAACCGAGGTACGTTGTGCTTTCAGTTACTGCCTGATGTTTTGACAGAAGCAATCAATAAGTAACATGAAGAGGAACCTAATGTACAGAGTGGATATATAATGTCATGTCAGTGTTGAAAATCCAGCAGAAGGTCACACATGGAAGCTCAGAAGATCCCTGTGTGCACACACACAGGCTTCACATACAGATATATGTGTGTATATGTGCAGCAACCTCATATTATATCCTCAAATTGTTTGATTTCTCATGCATTCGTCCCATCATTATGAACTATTATGTTACCTCTTTCAGTGAAGCAGATTTAACCTTTACAGCCATGAGCAGGCAGCCTGATTACACTTATGTTTAATAAAAGGTTATTTGCTCTGGAATCATTTGGTCTTGTCTTGTGAATAGCTGGTTACGCATGGCTAAGCCAAGCTGTGTTGGTCTGCATGATATTCAATATCTCAGACTATTTGGGTTTGCACTCCGTCCAAGGCTGCTGCTCATCTATACCAAATGCAATCTGCCTGCAATCAGGAGTGGCACCACTGTTTACCGCCCGACTGTGCCACCACGCAGTATGTAGCCTATGGAAGCCTAGACGGTGACAGACAGTAGCGGGCTCAGGCAAGAGGCAGTCAACAGGGTGGAGTGAAGCTTTCCACTGAAGAAAATCCTGTAGAGTTTGAAGGCTATATTTCACTGGCTTTCAGGGAGAACGGAGAAGGCTATCTGAGACAGATCTATCAGGAATGTTCACTCTCACCCTAAATTAATTGAATGTCAGTCAAGGAGAAAGTGAAATAGAGGCAAGAGAGTGACTGAGACCTTTGTGTTAGTAGAAGTGGGGTGGCTGGGGTTCCAAACTTTAGCCTTAACTTCTTAAAAGAATTACTCAGTGAGAAGCCAGAGAAAAATGTGGTAACAAAGACAGATAATCTATTTGTGCAGAAACAAACTGCCTATGCTGAGAGAAGCCCGTAAGTGAATGGCTTCAAGAAGTTTAATAAATAACGGCTACATATATGGAAACTTTGCTAAAGAAGAGATGGCAACAAAGTAACTATAAAGTACAATTTCAGCAGATTACTTTAAGAGATTGTTTTCTTCTATAGTAAAGCATACTTAGTGGTTTCATTCTGGTTAACAACAACAATGTCTGAATACTTGACATAACAATCCTTTATTTTACATCTAGCCTTAATACACTTTCTTACTGCACATGAAAATATTTTAAATAAGTACACATATATAGAGCTTAAAGTACTATAAAATATACATTTGTTTTCTTAAAAAGTTCCATCTGTGGATTAGTATATACTCCTTACTCTTAGATAGTCTGGTTAGATCGTGCGCTTTTCTATAACAAGTACTTTTTTTTCCTACACATGCTTTATTTGTGTCATTCACACTTTAATTAATGAGCCCAAAGGTGCTTTGGCATGTACACTGGAGAAGCCAGGGACTGAAGCACCAACCTTCTGATCAGTAGATGACCTGCTCTACCTGAGCCTAGCCATCCTAGCAGCAGGAGGGTATATGGATGACCACAAATAAACTAGAGTGCCCATGCTCACACTGATGAAGTACAAATAACCCAATGGTTTAGCCCATTGATCTGTTTTTCAGTTGTTTGGGACATCAGTGTTGGTTTATAGGACAAAGCAATAAGCCATGCAAGGCCCTGGATATAGACTCAACACTTTTCAAAGGATTTGTTGACACAAGACTCTCCTGCAAAGTCTCTTCTAATCCTAGCTTCTTGCTACGTTAAGCTATCTATTACACAAATCAGAAGCTTTAAAATGTTACTCCATACCAGACTCTGCTAGGAGAAAATAAGAGCACTATTGCATTACGAGTTAAATAGTACGTTTTTAGTAGTAGTAAAAACCAAAGGCTGTGATTTAGCATGCAACAATTATGATACACAGCATCATTGCTATGCAAGGTATGGGGATAAATATGCTGATACCATTAGTCTGCAGAGCAAGCCTGATTATTGGAGTGGCTGCAGTTGCTCAAAGCGATACCAGCTAATCAAAGTGAGAAATAGACGGTTTGTCGCCGTCTTCACCAAGCTGACAGCTAAATACAGTCATTTTTATGACTGAAATGATCAGTTCAGAGAAAATCTGCCAAGTAAAGAACAATGCCGACAGTCATAATAGTCACTGATAACTTTAGAATATGCTGTAATGTGATGCTGGCTGTTCTCAGCATCACCATCATGGCTGCTGGAGATGTGTTTGGCCACTTGTGGTTCCCTGCAGTCGTAACTTTCTATACTGATTGATGTTTCAGGTGGGCAGAAACTGATTCCAAGTATAAACTAGTGCTACTAACAGACCAACAAAAATACAAATTCAGTATGCAAGTATACAAGTGCATCACACTGGACCAGAAAAGCACATTCATACAAATCAAATCCAAAAAATCAGATCTTACCTTCCATATTGTCGTCAGGATTTTCCACAACATTTACTTCCATTTGAGGAGCCTGCACTTCCTCTGTTAAGGAAAAGAAGCAGATGTTACACTACACTACTCTAACATGACACAAGAGTCTTCATTGGCCTGCAAAAAAACCCAGCTCAGCCTGTCTAGTCTTCAGTTAGAGCAGCTCCGTGAGGCTCGGTCTGCATCCAGTTTAGATCCAAGACCTCCTCACTTGGGTCTGTTTCTTCTGTCTGTACAGCTGAGACGTTTGTGCATTTATTACCAGCTCTGTACTGTAACATTACATTACTGATAAAAAGAAAAAAAATCTTAAAATCTGTTTTTCCATTTAGTTATTTTAGTTTTTAGTTATTTTACTATACTACGTTTCATGAACTGAACTGATTTATTCATATCTTCCTGCCTAATACCCTGCGGATATTAAACTGTAATTTAAGAAACAACAGAAAAACAAGGAAATCATCATCATCAGAAATCATTTTTATCATCAACACTGAGTATCTCAGAGGTTTTGATGCGAATGGATAAAACACACAGCCAAACTGCTCTCTTGTACATACCTTTCTTCCCCTCTGTATTGTCGTTGGTACCAGTTTCTTGACCTTTGTTTTCATCGTGGGCGGGGCTTCCTTCATTGATATTTCCAGTCTCTTCATCGCCATCGGTCTCTTTATCGCCATCGGTGTCTTTATC